CCCCAAAGTCTAAACCATATTAAAGTTTACAATTAATTGTCTATTTGTTTACATTTTTATGACTTTATTGTTAAAACCAAACGTGTTCTTTCACATAAATCAAAGCATGAAAGATGGATCATTTCTATTTGTTCATGTCTCCTGGATTGTAATGGCCTCAGGCCCTCGGAGCAACACCTCTGTGWGCAGTTTGATTATTTGTACAGAAATAAAACAAAAATGAGGGTGTCTGTCACCAAGCCAACCACGTTAGCTACTTCCACACAAACTAGTATTTAAACCCAAAACAGCATACATTGAAATAAAAAAGATCTGCAGTATGTAATAAAACAAAAAAGAGAAAATTGTTACTTACTCTCCTCTTGCATGCCTGTTGAAAGGCCTGAGCTGCAGCCTCGGCACGTCTCTGCAGCTCGAATGCAGCAGCTCCTGCAGGTGCATCCAAGGAAAAAGGTGAACGCTGATCATTAATCAGGCTACTTTTTCGGTGCTTCTTTGTCCTTTTACGGCAGGATGGATGCGCGTCCTGCACACCAGGAATTAAAACAACAAACCCGGACCTGCTCTCATTCCCATTCCGCCCCTCTCTTTGTTGTTTCTAAACCACGAAAGAGGATCTCGATGGTGCGTAAAATCTAAAATTAAAACAGTTTTTAGGTTGCCTCGTGCAAAAAAATATATATATATTATGCTGAGCGTGTGAGATTCTGCGCTGCAAGTTTTCACCCTTACTGACATGCAGGTTGGCATGATGACACCTCCATGTAACTTGGGGGGAACTTAGAAGCTGACGCTGACAGGACCGGTGGGGTTCCCATCTTTGTCAATAGCTTAACCTCGTTGTTTCAATCAATAGAGTTTTTTTCCCCTTCCCCCCTCCCCCCTCCCTATAAGCCGAAAGCTCGATAAGGTTGCCATCACAAACGATGCTGACACCCGCGCTCTCATCTTCCCCGCGGATAAACAGGCCTTTATTATGCCAATAACTCGTCACCCCCCAGGGACGGGAGCGCGCACGGACGCATACATTGAGAGGACTGGATGAGTTGGACAGTCTTCTACAGTTTCTCAGACCTCTTTAAAAGAAACTCGTGCTCCTCTGTCTGCAATATTTGTTATGTCTATCAACACCTTAAAAAAACACAACACAGAGGAAAAGATTTATAGATAAACGTACTTTAATACGCATGATTGACCCGTAAACGTCTCCCTGGGCAAAACAATTGCTCCATTTGAATAAATAACAGATAAAAGCCTCACAAACCCTTGAATTCCCGCAACTGATAAAACTCAGCGTTCCTCAGCAGATACTTGGAGGCAAGCAAATTTCATGAGGTACATTCAAACAGTCGAGACACATGGAGACCTATAAACACAAAGGTTAAAGTGATTCGCTGGAAATATACTTAAATATATGAGGTAATATTGATTGCATGATGCTCCATTGACAGCATCCTGCGCTTTCAAACTTTGGCACATTTGAGATATTTTCGTTTTTAGGTTGTAACTTTGCATTAAGCAGCAATAATCATTGGCTCTCACTCTATGCATAAAACGAACATTTTTGCAAATTTGACCACACATATCAAAAGCAAATGTTACTCATCACAAACCTTGACTGCGTGAACAACAGTGTTAAGGGTCTTGCAGACAAGTTACATAAATAAAAACTAATCTAACGCCCGAGAGTGGTCCACATTGTAGTCAAGAGTTGCCAAATAATTTATTTTTACATAAATGTCCACACAAATGCCATTAACAAAGAGTTTGGTTTTGATGGTTGAACTTTGACATATGCATGTTTATACGTGGCCCAGAGTGGCAAACAGACAGCCGGTCCTCAGTTAGAGGTGAAACTATCAGTACCCGTGGAAGACACCGTGGAGGACGAAGGAGAAGGAGTCGATGGGGCTGAGATGGACCTCTCAGATGCTGCATCGTCCATTTTCTCCTGAACAATCTCCTCCGGGTCCGAGGGTGAAGTTTTGGCTGGAAGTAGCCCCTCTTTCTCGCGCTTCTTCTGCTTCATCCTCCGGTTCTGGAACCAGATTTTCACCTGAGTTTCATTCAGCTGCAGCGCGGCAGCTATCTCCACGCGGCGCGCGCGKGTCAGATACTTGTTGAAGTGRAACTCYTTCTCTAACTCTGTCAGCTGCTTGGTGGTGAAGTTGGTCCGGACGGTGTTCGGCTGGCCAGCATAGCCGTATTCACCAGAACGTCCTGCAGACAGGGGAAAACATGGCTTGATAACTTAATTATGGGGCTTTTACGCATTTTGAAAAAMTTTTACGCATTTGGAGCAACTTTTACGCAGCAAAATTATGCAACTTTACTAACACAAAAAATGTATATTACATAAAATAAATGTAAATACACTTTAAAATGATATTTTTATAGACTTATAGTGAATATTGGATCCTTTTWAAATTGATATGGACTGATATTTAATGTGTTTACGCACCTACAACTGCAGAAAAGTGCCAACGTTGCACTGCAGCATTAAACCATTTAAACACGTTTACAAACTTGGTGCCATTGAAAATAATTTCTTTTATGCTCATATATTAGCTACGAACACAAGTTTGCGCCCACCTGTTTTCGGTGGATTCCTTTTCACCTTCATCCAGTCGAAAGTCTGAGCGGACGATGCGCTCTCAGACAGAGGCGAGCAGCAAGCCTCCAGGTGWGCTGCATGAAGAGGTGACAGCTGGTTAGGGCCACCAGAATAAGAGGGTGCTTGGTCGTGCCCGCCTCCATAAGCAGCGTGCGTGTACTGCAGCTGACTCAGTGGGGTGGTGCTGTAACCATGGCGATGCTGAGACACCACGGAGGAGGATATATTCCCTGAGAACATCAGCGGGCTGCACTGAGGGAATGCAACAGAGTCAACTTCCTGGTTGAGAGTGTAATGGTTGTAGGTGGCGCAGAAACTTTGGGGCCCATAGTTTGAGCTGCAGGCCGGATGGGCTCCGTACACCGTGGACTGATATGACCCCGGCTGGTGAGGGATGCTGTCAGGAGAAGTTCTGTTTGCCATAAAGTGCTCATCCGCCCCGCAGCTGTTGATGGCAGCCCCGCAGGACTGGAAAGCTGTAATCCCGTGGTCTGAGTGGAAAGCCCTGATCGAACACGAGCCACCATCAGCGCTCATCACCGAGTAGTCTAAGAAGCTGCTCATTGTAGCATCGTGGTCCAGGAACCCGGATACCCGTCCTCTCCACGGACACTGAACTCACCCTGAGTGACCGTGCCAACCTTTACCTATAGCTCTGTCCTAATCAGTGGAGGGGAAAGTGGGGGGTAGGTATCAATGAACGGGTGCTGTCACGTGGGCACGGGTCAGCCACTGAGGCACTTGTCCTTATCCTCTCAGCCGGTGACAGATTGGTGTTTGAGGGGCTATTTAAATTCCGAGCGCTCGTCGATCAAGGTGACGCGCGTCGCCGCTAATGTATTGGCTGAGCAAACAATGAGCCTGGGAGGCAGAAGGCGGTGGACAGCTCCGAGGTCGCACGAGGAGCGGGGGTATAGCTGCTGCAAACACGGTGTCTTTTAACCCCTGCTGCGCGCTCTCACGCAGAGATGAGATGAAGCCTCTGTTACCTCACCATAAGGGACGGTGCTGCACTCTGACCTCAGGTACCCTATTTTTGGATTATAGAGGAATGTGTGAGTGTGTGCACGCGCTTTTGGTGAGTCCTCCGCGCGTAAAAGCCGTGATGTCATTAGTATACTCGCGCTGTTCTCTCCTAGATGGATGGATRGGAGTGGGCGCGCGCGCGCCACAGCCGCGGGCTCTCTGAGAGCTATTAATGTCTCATTTCAGTGCGAAATGTTTCACGCTTGAACATTAAGGGGATTTTCTCGSCAAATATTGTCACAGTGTGACAGCGAGCAAGACGCAAGATTTGTCCCCTGATTCACACCCAAAATACACTCGTTCCATCAAGCAGAGCACCTTTCTTTTCTCAGAACTCATGTTGCAGGATGTTGTTTGCTGGCTTTCTGCGCAACCGGTGTGCCAAGTCATGCGGCGTGGCGTCACAACATATCCTCTGCGCTTGACACTTGACGCCATGTGATGTGGAGAAATGTCACCCTAAACTAAACTTGCTAAACTCCAAACCTGGATCAGATCAGTTCACGCCCGCAAAAATGACGCGCGGTGCGTAAAACTGCGCCTGAAGTGCAGTTTCATCCACATTATGTTGGCCTGTCACAAGTGATGAAGAGATACCAGATTTAACATTAAGCTGATGTGGTTTCATTTTTTCTCTCTCTCTCTTTCTCGGGTCATAGGGTCAAAGTTTCCCTCCCGCTTGTATTCATTACGCACTGATCAAATGATATAATAATGCGAGGCTCGCTAATGCGCAGATGTAGCCCGAGGTGCGAGTGTGGGCTGATTATCCTGTTAAGTTCATCAAATAAAGCTGCCGGGGAAATTAATGGCCACAGAAACAGCAGTGAGAAAGACAGAGCAAGAGAGTGTGAGGAGGGAGGGAGGGAGGGAGGGAGTGCGCGTGGGTGACTTGCAACAGCAGATGCACAACCTCTAACCGAGGAAGGAAATAAGGAGAGGAGGAGTGAAGGGAAGGGAGGGAGGGAAAAGGAAAGAGTCGCAGAAGAAGGAGCGCCCCTACAGGCGCGAGGAAGTCAAACACTCTTAGAAATGTTGACAATAAGGATATCACACAATGATAGATGCTTCTCTGAGTGGTGGTAAGGTGTGGGGCTTTATTTGGCGCACTTGAAAACAGTTTTAAAGCACTTTGTTCAGCCTGATTCTATTCCTGTCACGACACGCCAGTGGGGGAAATTAAACTGAACTTTGTAGTTTTACTCACTAATTTACACTATTAGTTTCATTAATGATTTAAAAGTCTTATTTTTGCTTTAGAAGAGAAACGTTTTTATTTTGATTTAATCAAAGTTTTACTTTGAACTTCCGCTTCCACTTTAATGGAATTTAGTGACGAAGTTTGAAAACTTTTGGGCCTTGTTTCACATGGAGAGAAGAAAAATATGCGTTGAGTTCAATACCCCTCACCCACATCTATCCCCCCCCCACACACACAGTTCTTTCTCTATCCCCCCACTCCCACCCCTCTGCCTGCCTGTCTTTCCCAGCTGCCTYTGCAGTGAGTGGGCGCAGTGGATCCTGCGCGGCTCGTATGGAAAGAAAACTTCGCGGAGCTCTTCTCATGGGCTCTTTGTGTGAGAAAAGGGCGCGCTGTCCCGGAATGATTCGCTCAAAGCAGACCCCGTGGTTTCAAGGCAGGAGCCCATGATGTAGCCCCCACTCCTTTTTTTTTTCACCCTTACTTTGAACACACACAAAACTTTCCCATCTCCCAGTCGATGACTTGCTTATGGCTTCCAGATTATTCGATAAAGGTTCGAGCTGAGTTCCACACTGTTTGAATCGATCCAGCCTCTCATCGCAATTGGTGTTTTTTTTTTTTTTTTCATGCGAGTGGGCTATTTCCCACTCAGACCTATTAGTTTGGACAATCGAGTTCTAATAACTGATTCCCAGAAGTCTAATCAAGCAATACAGTTAAAGCTAAACTCTTCATAATCTCCTGTATTGAATTAAAACTCTTTCTTCAATATTATTGCAAAAAGAATAATCTTGTTAAACAAACCAAAGTGATAATATCCGCTTTATTCCACGAGTCGCGTGCTCTGAGTTTGGACTAACACACTGAGTGTGAGTGCAGGCTCTTAACCTGAGCTGCTGCTGTTATCGCCGAGTCAGAGCCGTGTGTTAAACAAGCTATAAAAATGAATTATTGCTAAACACACGCAGAGACACACACTTCCTCTTTTCTTTTTTTTAAAGCTTAGAAGTCAGGGAGTCCCGTATGAAAACGTAAGTGGAGTTTTTTTCCCCCCCTCCTTTTTTTTATTTGTGCACATTACCCCACAATTGGTCTCTTTAATGTCCGTCTCATTCATGCCACGGAGTGATTTATGAGCTCCTGAAGGCAAACACAGCTCGGGTGTTTGCCTGCAACTTGCACACAATGTTAAAAAGCTCCTGACATGCTCACATCCGGGCTATGCTTATTTTCKGTTTTTTAAAAAAGTACTAATTTCATAGGTTTGTAGGGTGGGAAAAAAAACTCAACGCGTTTGTGCGTAAAAATAATTTAAAATCCTGCACATGTCGGCACATGTTGCCAATTTTAAAAAAAATACCCCAGGGGAGCAAATGATCATGTTTTGCTGTTATTTTCTTGTTGGTTTATTTGTATTTTAAAAAGTCAATAAAATCTTACTTAATATAAAAGAAATTTATTTTGCGCATTTTTTTTTTTTTTTTGTCTTAGCAGCAAATCCGTAAAAATAATTTAAAATCCTGCACATGTCGGCA